TTTTCATCTTTTGGGTAATTCTCTAACCCTAAAAATCGGAAGGTCTCGTCGACGAATTCGGAAGCTATCGTCGGCGAATTTGGAAGCTCTCTGCTGTTCTTGGGACCATTATCTCCGCGATCTTCACTTTCTTCTTCGTTCTAGGTTCGCCTTTCTCGTTGAGATTGTCTCTATTTTGTCGAATTTGGATCCGATTTTAGTCTCCATGTAGTAAATAATTGTTGCTCTGCAGCTTTTGTCGAATTGTTGCTCTCGTTGATCCGATTTTGTCGAATTTGGATCCGAATAAGTGCATAATTTTTTGCTTGTCTTTGATTGGATTGATTTCAATAATTTGATAGAGTTTGCTTAATTGATATGATTATTAAGAAAGTTGTTACCTTTTATCGTGTTTAGTGGGGACATTGCTAACGGCACTTACAGGAGCTTTGATAGGTCAAGAAACTGAGAGTGGTTTCACTAGAGAAGCAGCGATTGGAGCCATTTCGGAAGCAGAGAAAGAATTCAAAGTAGAAGTGGACTCTGGGATTGGTCTGCTTCCGTCAAGAAGGTGCGATGAATAAAAAAACTTTTGATGTTTTAGTTTTGGAACTTCAAAATGCAGTAACAATGGTGGTGCTACTCTTTGCTGGATGGAATGTAGTTAGTGTTTAAGATTGTTTTCCAGTTGATGATTTATTCAATAGATCAAGAAGAAAAACAGACTTAGGGTTCCTCTAGCCTCTAGGATTGCACTTCTTAGATTACAAAATGATTCCATTAAGATTAATAGNGTTAGTTTTCTTTGTTTTATCAATAGCATTTGGTGTCTAAAACGTGGTAGAGGATTTAGCTTGCCATATTGAATGTGGCCAATCCATCATAGATTCCTCTTTACGGATAGTTTGATGTTTCATTTGCACTGTTAGCAACGGGGGCAGTGATACTTACACTAGATTCTGTTAGTCTTGCTTGCTCTATAGTCTTGCTTGCTCTATATATTGCCTAAACTGACAGATTTATTTGATCTACTCTTGATAGTCACAGATTTATTTCTTTAATTCTTGCTTATTAAACCATAATTTTTTTGCAATGTTTACAATGTTAGGGATTTATGTTTAGGAATTTAGCTTATTTTTTGCTCTCGTTTGTTTAATCATTGCAGTACTTTCAA